GAAACACAGGTAGGAAACGCCGGGAAGGAACTCGTGTCCAGAGAGCAGTGGGCTGTCTCTCCATCAGCACCTACTCCGGTAGGAGCAGCTCAGAAGGCTGAAGCAGTCAGGGCTCAGATTAACTGTCCCTGTTCTGTGGGCCAAGTGATCCCTGGGATGTACAGGCCTCAAGGATGTTCCAAGGAGCCTTTCCTTTCTCATCCAGGTGTCCTACTTGGAAGCACCAGGCTTCACCCACCCCATGTAGGTGGTCCATGCCACCATCCCTATGGTCTATCACTATCCCCTTTCACACACCACCACTCACTCCCACCCACATGGAGTCCCAGGGATGCCTTAGTGCTGCCTGACCCATCCCCCTATTCCAAGCTCTGGTAGCATTCCGCAGCAGGTGGTTTTGGGGGAGGGAGTAGGCGACTTAACTCCTGTCGCTGCCGCAGGGAGGACATCCTGAGAGCCTCTGGAGCTCCTTTCTTCTCCAAGAAAGAAACCCACCGTGTTTTCCTGTGCGTGTTTGCCGACCTTGTGGAGTCAGCCAGAAGTCCTGGATGCAAGGTTGGCAGAACCATGTTTTTGTTCAGGGATCCGGAGCAGCAGGCACAAAGCCTCTCCCTGCAGAGGAGCACTGATGAGAACCTTTGCTGTGAGCCGGCATGGATTCACCACTCTACTATGAACCTTCAGGAGCACGAGCCCATGTTCAAGACTTCAACCGTTCCTTACACTCCCCAATTCTTGCTGGTCAATGGCTAATCAGTTGGGAATGGGCATGGACAAAAAGGTGACCTAAAGCCTCTTCCTCCGAATAGTGAGAAATGAAATGAGCAGCCTCAGCCAGAGCTTTGCATTTGCTGGGTTCTTGAGCCCTGCAGGTGCTGCTGATGGGAGCCACATCCCCACCCAATGCTTGAACCAGGACAATTGTGACTATGTAAATCCCAGCAGTCACAACTTGATTGCTAGATAGACCTTGGCAGATGGAGGGGCATTAAACCCTCATAATCTACATCTTCCACACTCCCCTCATCACAGGGGTTGCTGGCACCTTCTTCCCATTCAAGCAGACGTTTAGCAGCAGCAGGGTGCCTCCTGCACCATAGGAGATACTACCCACACCCTTAGGTCACCAGGTACTACCCATAGAGTGAGGAGCCCAGTTTAACCATGTCTTTTCACATCCCAAGTTACAGAACCCGCTGCACCTGGCAAGGATGGAGTGAGCCTCTCTGCCTGTGCTGGGTTCTCTGGCAGGTGTATGCACAGCTCTTGGCATCCTCTGGAGCAGTCAGGATACCCCAGCACTGCATCCATGTCTGGGTGCCAGCTGTCCTGTTCATGTGGGCCGTGAACATGCAGAGTCCAGGATTGCAATGAGAATTGTTTGTACATCCTCGTGGCAGCTGCTTACCTGCCGCCCCCCAGGAATGGGTCTAGAGGTGCCTGCACATCCCCTGTCCTCTTCAGCTGCTCCCTCCTGGGGTCCTCAGCCTGCAGCCCTTCTGCACAGGCACTGTTCCTCCTCCCCAGCCCTTTCCACCCCCGGAAATTTCATCTGCTGACCCTTCTCAGCCACACAATCAATGCTAACACTACTCAGCCCTCAGGAACCCTCACCCTGGGTGTCACTGATACACTAAAGACGACGAAGCTGACAGCTCAGGAGAAGGTTTTCTTGCTGATGCTTTAAGAAACAACAGGAGATTTTGTCAGGAAACCAGCTGCCATGGTTCAAGGCAGTAAAACCTGTTAAGGAGGACACAGCTCAGCCCTCACCTCCTAATTAGGCTGAGTGGAAGACAGACAAAGCACTACACTGAGCGTAACGGCTTGTGCTAATCCATAGGCACTTCAACTCCGCGTGCTGGACAGGGACAGGCTGTCCACCAGCTGGGGGGTAATGAAGTCTGTGCTAGACAGGGACCGGAAGATGGGTAACACATGACACCAAACTTCCACAAAACTGGCTTTTAAACTAGGGATTCCAGAATGCTGCTAGCTCAAGGTGTGTCGGGTTATATGGGAAATGTGTAGCTTTGCAGATTTTGCAAGAGTGCTCCACAATTCAAAGCATCGTGGAACAAAGGAAATTCAACTCTTACGGTACGGAAACACCTAGCCTGTAGCTGGCATCCTCCCTGCGCAGGTTTGCTTCCTAGGCACAGCCTCAGAACAGGACCGTGGAGAACCGGTTACAGCTTGTGGGTCTGCAGTCCTATTCCGAGAACTTCCAGAGAGAGCCAGAGGGGAACCTGCAACTTCGAACACCGTAAGGAAACCTGCTTCCTCCACCCAGCAGGACAGAGAGGCTGCACTGCCAAAACCACCCTCCCAAACCTTCTGCAAGTTCTGCATACACCTAAAACTGTTGTCTTCTGTCAAGAGGCATTTCAATCCAGATACCCATTTCAATTTATACACTACTTCCATGCCTGAAGATGGCATGGAACTAGTTCTTCAACAAGCAGTTCTCAATTCACACATGTCCCTCTTTTGTCATGAGTATGCAAAAACAGGGCAGCTGAACACCAGGGAAGCAAACTTCAACAGTCAGTATGGAGATCTGCAAGGCTGAGCTGTTTCTGCAAACCCGAGATTACCAGGAAAACCACCACTGCACCGTGAGCAACGATCAGGTAGCATCTATAAACCCAGTACAGGTTAAATCTTAATTTGTCCTGTTTGGAAACATTAAAAACCCAAAAAAGACCATTCTCTTGCTACACAAATCCAGTTTCCATCACTTCTGGGAATCATGACCAAGGAAAGCATTCCCTCCTTCTCCTCCCAGCCCACATGCCGCTTCTAAATATGCACCGAAGAGCATCTGCTGTTGGCATAGTGACCTTGAAAACACGGAGGCTAAATAAATCGAAAACCGGTGCAGTGCACAGCGCCGCTGGAAGCACAGCTCTTAGCAGAGACCACCGCACGCCATCTAGTCTTGCTGTTCCAAACTGAAAATAAACCCCAAAGTTTACAACTACGTACTACTTACTGTTAACCATTTCATCATGATGCTCCAGCTAATCCACTTAAATCTTGCCAGATAAGTACGAAGCAAACACAGGACCAAAATAACTTACGCAGGCATGCCTGAGAAGAAAATCTGAATACCATCACCATAAATCACATCCAGTGAAACCTTCCACTTAACTCCATCAAGCACAAAGCCCAAGGGGAAATGATGCTTAACTTGGGAGTCGAATGTCGATTTTAAATTTCTGTGGAAATTCACAAGCCAAAGAAGCCAGTAAAGGTCTAAGGCTCAGTACACGGATACGGCTGCTCCAGGAAAACCCCACTTCATCCCAAGAGCCGAGTGCCTAAGCTGCCCCCGTGAAATTTAAGATGCGAGTCACTGACCTTGCTTCAGGAGATGGTGGTGCACTCCACGCCCAGTACCTACGGTTCCAAAATGCAGCAGTAATACCATTTACCAGCCCAGGTAAGCTTTGCTCCATCTTCTTCAAGGCATTTCCAAAGTCATTTCAACTGCACAGCCTGCTCCATCTTCCAAGATGGGAGCTTGGAGAAATTTCAAATGCAGTACCTGCTCACCATGACTAACGCACTTCACCCTTAAACCCCAGGCCAAGCCAGACAATGACTCCACTGTCCAAAAGCTACATTCAGTTGTGGGTGTTCCCATTCTCACGGAATGTTAGGTACAAGCAAACAGGCATTAATCCGTTAATTTACAAGTAATCTGCACAAGGCACTTCAGAATGAAAGGGAAAAGGCAAACCGTGTTACCTCTCCGTTTCTTACTCCCGCTACCTGTCCTACAATCAACTATTTGGCAATAGTCAATACCTACAAACTGCCTGAGATCACTACCTTCCCTAGTGTTTTACTCCTGCTACACAGACAATAGTTTTACATCGCTTACTTGAGGTAGGCAAGCAATGCCATGGAAAGGTAAAATGTATTTATCCGTATCTCTAACAGGTAGGCTTGAGCTCCCACCCGGTCAAAGCTAACTAGGCAGATCACTGTCAGCAGTTTCTTTAGCAAATTTCACACTGTTTCAAGCAAAGCTCGCAAAACCAACGTTAATCATAGAACCATTTAGGTTGGAAAAGACCTTTAAGCTCATCAAGGCAACTGTTAACCTAACACTGCCAAGTTCACCCTAACCCATGTCCCTGACCACCGCATCCACACGTCCTTTAAACACCCCAGGGGTGGTGACTCCGCCACCTCCCTGGGTAGCCCGTTCCAATGCCTGACAACCCTTTCCGTGAAGAAGTTTAAGCAGTTGGCTAAAGATGTTCTTCCATTCAAGAAGCATTGGGCAGGTAGCACTAGGGTTTTGCGAGGTATCAAGAAATCAGTGGGATGAGAGGAATGCGTCAGAACACGCAAGTAGATGTTTAGATTCAATACACATGATAAACATACAGAATTCAAGTGTTCAGCTATGCCAACGGATTGAAGTGACAAAAATAAACTAAAAAGGCTGGTAGTTTTGGAATTAAAGCCTTGTTTCTAAACTGCTCCTCTTTCCTAATAATGCTTATTGGCCTGGGGATGTTCTAAAAATCCTTCTTTTGCAGGTTATGATGGTGAAACACCAAAATCTGCCCACAGACGTTTCTCAGAAAGTTGCTTTCAAAGAAAGTTTCCACAATTCTTTGGTATTAATCTGAGGCCACTTAGCCAAAAGTTTGTATCAATGAAACCCTAAACCCATTATCTCTTCCCACCAAAAAAAAAAAAAAATATCCAACCTTCAAGGGACACTGTACAATCCTTGGTATCTGCTCTTGGTTTGCTGGTGAAATACCCCGTGTCTTCTCAAGATCGTTGTTAAGCATTAGCAACTGTCAACGTCCCCAGGATTTATGGCCTATATAAATGACTAAACCGATGGGCAAAAGCTGCAGGTGATTTAAATAAGCAAGCACCATAAAAGGCAAGTTAAATAAATGTCAACAAAATAAAAAAACTTCTAAAGCATCTGTTCCAAAAAACTAAAGGAATCAGCCACAGCCACATAGACTTGTCCAAAACCAGATCTTTAATTTGTTTTTTTCCCCAAATGTGCATTATGCCATAAATTCGTAGGGTATTGGTTCCAGCAGCTCTGGATCCTTGCCATTAGTTCTCACAAAGTGTGCTTCTCTCGGTGGAGCAGGCTGTAAACAGGGAAAAGAAAAACTCATGGCACTAAAACTCAAAACCAACCTCACAGAAAATTCATTTTGGCAACAGTTAAACATGTTATTATATAAACATTACAGCAACTTTACCATTCCTAGTCTCTTTAAAATCTGATTCAAAGAACAGCAGTAAGGAAATCTTCTCTCTAAAGTCTAGTTATTCATTCTTTTCTTAAAGGGTTACAACAGAAACCGCTGCAGCTAAATTCCACTGTACAAAGACAACACTGATCCTAGAAATCAGCCAGAGCCTCTGCTGCAGATCAGCAACAGAACAGGAAGAACTGATGCCTTTGTTCACAGCCAAGGCTACCAATTCCACCCAGAACCAGACACACTGATGCTGCCACTCTATTCTCGAGAAGGAAGTAACCTCCCGCAAAAGGACTGTGAACACAAGTCAGGGTGGAGATCAGACACCTTGACACAACCTGCCAGAGATGCGGATTATTCAAAACGCTGTAAATAGCTTCATTAATGCGAGGTGGTGGGTTGGTTGGCTGGTTTTAAGAAGGCAGATGGAAAGAGCTCATTTTACAGGATAACACACTGTTGCTTTGGAAGAAAACATGTTACTCAACTAGTTTGGTTCTAGCTACTTTGTTTGGGGTTGTTTGGGTGAACAGAATCAACAGTGTGCCAGCAATACAACAAAAATATTACCTGACGTTTCAGCTGAACCCAAATGCCTTTTTCTTTTGCTTCCTTTTTCTTCTTTTCATTCTCCTTCACACGCTGCAGAAAGCTGTCTCTGCTCTTGGAATGTTTAATATGCTCAATACGCACATTAATTCTCTTGGCAAGAATCTTGCCCCTAAGAAAAGAAATCAGTCTTTCATCTACTGCACTTGGGAAAAAAAGGCTACTTCCAAGCTAGTTTTACAGCCTTTACATGAGCAACTCCATAAACACAATTACAGGTATTTTTCTTTAAAGGGCAATCACTCAAAATACATTACTGCAGATGTAAATCAGACAGAACTCATGTAACTGAGAACTTATTAATATGCAAGAAAAAATACACTGACTAGGATTAAGGTGGTGGAGAACACGCAATTTTAACCTCGTGGCATACCAAGAATTGTATTACCACTGTACTGCAGTCCAGTTTCTGAATAAAAACTGGAACTTCTTTTCCAACTAAACTGTAGAAAATCCAGCTGAATACAGCGACAAATTAATGTTTTAAAAGAGCTTCAGTACCAATGTGATAGTTGGATGAAAATTTCCATTAGGTAATGTCACTTCAAGTGCTGTTCAGAAAAATAAAGTGTTTCCTCTGACAGGATCCAAGCCAAACAAGCATCGTTTGCTTGGGTTATAAAAAGGATATATACTTTACCCACCTTGAATGGCCAATCAAGACAATAACTGTCTAACTGGCAAAGTGAAAGGAGGGTGCAATTACGGATCAACTTTCCCAAATACAAAGTTTCAACACACGGAAATTTCATTACTTACTTGACCTGCTTGTTAACAATAATGCCCACAGCGTGCTGCGTAACATTATATACTCTTCCAGTCTTGCCATGGTAACACTTGTGTGGCATACCTTTTTGAACAGTACCCATACCCTGTTCAGAGGGAAAACAAGAATGAAGTGTAATCTTTAATTAAAGTCCTTGATGTTGCCATTTTTAACCCCGACAAGTTATTTAAAGTACACACTGCAAATACCTGAGATGGATTTAAAAATACTCCTATGTTACTCATACATTACAATTTATAACCATGCGGTTTTATCTGAAGACTACCAAGTCTTGCTATGACAATTCTGGTTGCTTTCAGTGTCGGTGAAAGGACTGATCACTTTGCTTTCAGCAAGCAATCACAGGAGACAATCATCATCAAGCTCCAGTGTGTCAGAAGCGTTAATTCCGAACAGTGCAATTCTCCAAGAGCCAAACAACAAATAGGCAAATTACACACCAACTTCTGTGGGATTGTTACAAACACTCTGCATTTCAACTGAAACTAAAGGATTCAATGAAGTAGGAAAGCTTGGTGAAGGGATTTTAGATTCATTACAAATTAATTTTGAAAGTACAGTTGGGTTTAAAGGACAAGTTCTAAAAAACACCAACCGATGGGAAATGCTGCTTCACCTTTTCCCCACCTGAATTAATATATATGGTATGTCCTCACATTTATCTCTTGGTTTCTAGATTTCATGTGGTTTTGCAACCACCATCCCTGTACACACTTATTTTAAGTATGGTCCTACAATGACACAGAGACATAACAATCAGCTACACCACCACAAACTCTGGCTCTTCTGAACAGCAGGTGCAAGTAAGGCAAAACAGAACATCTACTGAAGTGACAGCCGGGGTTCCTATGCAAAGAAAGCAGTGCTACCAGGCACCAAACAGAAACCCGAGTACTAGACATGGCATCTTTCACTCACTTCTTCCAGCTGAGAACACAGCAATGAAGCACAGCCAAGGTATTATTTTTTTATAGATGTATATAAAAATCCCATATGAACCAGCACGCTAGACTGAAGCGTTCCTATCGCTTCAGTCGCGCTGCCATTCCAGTATTGCTTCAAAAGCCAGCAGCAGGTACTTGTGCCAACACACACAACCCAAGTAACAAAAAACACTACCTCAAGGAACCGGAGACTGAAAAGGATTACACTGCTTTAGCTTTTAATCATACAGCATTGTAGAAAGTACCTTGATATCAACTATATCGCCCTTCTTATAGATGCGCATGTAGGTAGCCAGAGGGACAACTCCTGTTAAGAGATACAAATGTGGATACTTATGAAGCCCACAGTTTCACACACACACCAGGCGTGTGGGTACAGACTGGTAAAGTTTTCTTAAATACTTCAAACTTGAACTCAGTTTAAAAAAACAACCAAAACAAAATCAAAGAAACAAAACCAAACATCAAACCATCTTTTTTTTTTTGAAGCAGTAATTACCTCTTCACACGCTCCCAATTTTAACAAATCCAACTCAGGAAAAGGAAAAATTACAGATTTAATCTCATTCCTAATGTAGAAGTTGCAGAGACATTAAACTACTTTCATGGTGAACACAGCTGTTATCATTGCTCCGAGGCAAAAACCTGTACATTTTAACTAAGTGTTAACTGTTCAAGTATTTCTTTACCTTCAAACAGATCTTCCAGCACTGACACAATTAGCATCAGCACATCAATCAGAATTCCAATGCATAAGCCGTAAGAGCTGAGTTTACGTGCATATTATTTCACAGTTTTTAGCCCAAGTTGTCAGAAATCCTTTGACATGAGCCATGTTTTATAAACACTGCTTTGGGGCTGGTTGACATCCAACAAGTCAGTAACTTAACAGCGTTCACCCTTCAAGGTATACTCACCATGCTTGCGAAACGGCCTCGAGAACATATAACGTGTCCCCCTCCTTTCCCTTTGTGTTCGTCATTTTGGCAGATTACTGTAAAATTGAATGCAAATTACTCAGAATTACTAGCTCACTCACTCAAAATTTGACTGGTGGCTTTTTCAGACATTTTAGATAAATCAAGTCTTTAAGCCTATTCAGACTGACACCACTTCCAAACTGCTGGGCTAATTCAAACAATGTTGTCATCTTAGACATTAACAGAAAACACTACTTATAGGACCACAGGCCAAGCCAGGTTAGAATGAATGCTAGCGAGTCACTTAGCTCAACTTCCTGCTTAAAGCAAGGTCTGCTACGAGATCAGCCCAAGCTGCTCAGGGCCTTTGTCAAGTCCTGAAACCCTTCAAGGATGGAGAGAGACTACTGCACAGCCTCCCTGGGCAGCCTGTTGGGAGAGGCCTAGCTGTTCTCATGATGAAAAACTTTTCCTTTATACCCAATCTGAGCCTCTCAGTTTTTATTCAAAGACAGGAGCATGAGAAAACTGGCATATGTTTCCATCAGGATCTGTCTTCTTGATCATGGCCCTGTTAGGTGTCCCCCAAAGGCACCTCTTCTCCAGGCCGAGCAAGCCTGGTTCCCTCTCCTCACAAGGCATCCAAAAGGCAAGATCTCCACTACCTGATTTATCAGCCCCAAATGCATCTGACACAGGCGCTCACACTCCGCACGCCGACAG